GTGGGAAGTGGGGGGGAAGACGAAAACCCCAAACACACAGGAACATTTGGGGATTTGTTGTTGTTTGGGTGTACGTCTTTGTGTGTCCTTGGGCCCCTTCAAAAGTGTCCATGACAGGTTGCCATGGGTGGCTCGCTTCAGCGTGCCACTACTAGAAAGCCTTACGTCGGGAATGTCCCTCTACAGGAGGAGGGCTCAAACATAGTCATCAAAAATAGTATGGGAGCATTTTTGTACAATATTGTTGGCGATGTTTGATGTTTGTTCCGCTATTTTTTATTTTTCGTCCATAATCCGCCTGTAGGGGGACATGCCCGACCTAAAGAAAGCATTGGTTCGCGAGGGACTGGTTTTCCCCCGAAAAGCCTTCCCGAACCCTCCGAAAAGCCTCTCAGAAGCCGGCCAGGAGGGTTTTCCGACTGGTTCGGGAGGGCTTCGGCTGTTTCGGAAGGACGCCCGTCCGTAGCGTTAGGTCGGGCATGCCCCCCAGCAGGCGGACGATGGACGAAAAATAATACATAGCCGAGCAAAAATAAAAAATCGACAAACTTTATGGTAGAAACATCGTTCCCAGACTATTTCCTGACTACTTTTAAATGCTCCTCCTGTAGAGGGGCATGCCCGACTTATCAAGCAGTGGCGAAGCGTCCCGGCTCGCTTATAGTCCCACCAAACGGTTTTCTAAGAACCTTGTGTGGTCCGCACGAAATGTTCTTAGAACATGTCTGGCTGAGATTGTCTTGTGTTAACACATCGGGTTGATGTTCTAAGAACATTGTTTTTGTTCTCAGAACATTTTTGGGTTCTAAGAGCATTCTGTGGTATGGCTATAGGAATGCCGGGACGGTCGGCCCCTGCTCAAACTCAAGCCTAGCGAGCCCTGTACTTTCTCGGGGGAGCGTAAGACCCGGGTTTGCCGGGACTCGGGTTCGCCATCGTTTTTTGACGACCGCGACTCGGATTTTGACGAGGAGGAGTTTCGTGGGATGTCTGCAGCGGGAGGCCTCGTCAAAATGCAGGCTCGGCCTCGTCATTTTTTTGACGACCTCGTCGGGGATTTCCGAGTCCCCCGTACCTGGGTCTTACGTCTCCCCGATCTAACGCTGCTACTCCGCTCTCCTCCGAAGACCTCCCGCCTCTCCCGCGGTAGCAGGCCGGTGGGTCCCCCACGGCGGCGTGCCAGCTTCGTTGTTGCTCTGCTTCGCGAGGAGCCGAAGAGGGCAAAGACGGCGTAAGCATACGGTCAAACCAGGAGGAGGAGGACAAGTCGAGGACAAGTCGAGGAGGACAAAGACGGCGGAGTTGAATTGGACGCGCGACTTTGCTCGGGGTACCCTTTGCGTCCTTGCTCTTCTTCCTTGCTCTTGCTCAGGGTACCCTTGCGTCCTTGCTCTTCTTCCTTGCTCTTGCTCGGGGTACCCTTGCGTCCTTGCTCTTCTTCCTTGCTCTTGCTCAGGGTACCCTTGCGTCCTTGCTCTTCTTCCTTGCTCTTGCTCAGGGTACCCTTGCGTCCCTGCTCTTCCTCGCTCTTCTGTGCCCGTGCGCCCTTGCTCTGGCGTGGGCATGCAGTCGGCCCGGACTGGTCGGTCGACCCTGCCAAAGCAAGGGTTCTGGACGCCCGAGATGGGCACGGAAAGAATGGGTACAATGCCCAACAGCAGTTCTTATCCACTTTGAGCAGGACTCGCTGTCCGCGCCGCCGCGGCCTGTGTCCATTCGAGACAGAAGGCCGCCTGCCCAACCGCGGCCGCTGTTGGTTTGGGACAGCATTTGTTGATGGGCATTGTACCCATTTGTTCCGTACCCATTTCGGGCGTCCAAAAGGGTGCTCTTGTGTCCCGTGTCTCGCGGCCTATGCCTCCTTACATTCCTGTGGCAATGTGGCCCTCGGAAGGGTCTTGTTCAGGAGGGCAAAACACACACAGACACGATGAATCGCCGCTTCCCCAGACAATAGGGGAGACTATGGGAAGTGCGGGGGGGAGACAAAATCCGAGAACATATGGGAAAACAGGGGGAATCCTGCTGTTCGTGTGCCTCCATTTGCGTGTCCTTTGGGCCCCTTCACTTGTGCCCTCTCGCGTGCCCTGTCCAGCCAGGTCCGTCCTCCTCCTCCTCCTCCTCCTCCTCCTCCTCCTCCTCCTCCTCCTCCTCCTCCCCCCGCCTCCCTCCTCCCTCCTCCTTGGACGGCCCGCGCGGGTGTCCTGGATCTGCACCTGCCCTCCCTCGCTGGCGCGCGGAGCGCGCCGAAGGGCGGCGCCGCGGGCGCCGCCAGGGGGGGGCCCAGCGCAGATTCGTCAGCAAGGGCTCCCAGGAGGGCGCGAAGTTATTCGCGCTTCGCGCTTCGCCGTCCTCCTTCCTCCTCCCCCTCCTCCTCGTCCTCCTCTTCTCCCTTTGGGAGGGCGGCGCGAGAGCGCGAAGTTATTCGCGCTTCGCGCTTCGCGCTTCGCGCAGCGCGAAGCGCGAAGTTGGGAGCCCTTGCGTCAGAGCTCCGAATCATCAGGGGTAACTCGGGTCAGGGTTAACTCGGGCTCGTTGTTCGGGAATCCGAACCTGAGTTACCCCGGACCCGAGCTACCCCGGATAACTCGGACGTTCAGAGCCCCACATCATCAGGGGTAACTCGGGTCAGGGCCAACTCGTTTTTTTTTTTTTCGGGAATCCAAGCCCGAGTTACCCCGGACCCGAGTTACCCCGGATAACTCGGGCCCCCCAATTCGGGCCCGACGAAAGGGGGGGATTGGGAAAGGGGGGGGGTACGACATTTGCTGCATGCAGCTGGTCTCGGCCTCGCCAAGCGGCCCACTCCTCGACGCATGGCCGAGGCGCCGGGAAAATCGGCGGCGTGAGCTGATTCACTAGCCCCCCCTTTGCGCTGTCCCCCCCTGTCGCCCGACCCGACAGATGCACAAGAAATCCTCGGGGCCCCTTGCCGTGTACCAGTTTCCGAAATTCGTGTCTTTCTTGGCCCTCGGTTGCCTTTCGTGGCCCATGGCGCGTCGACCGCCGAAAGTTGACGGTCCTTTTTTGTCCCCGCTCAGTGCCTGCACTGCAGGGGTCCTATAGCGGAAGTTGAAAGATTTGGCGAAAGTTTCCCGCCGACTTTGGTGGCAGGCGGGGTTCCCGGGTTCCCGGTTCCGGGTTCCCGGGTTCTTGGTCATTGGTTCTGGGCCGATTTCGGTGCTGGGTTCTGGGTTCCCGGGCTCCCGGGTTCCTTGTCGATCTCCGAAAACCCAGACATGCGACGTCCTGGTTTTTTTCAGGACGGCGTCCCCGAAAGTCCCGACGCTTTCCCCGGGACCGGTTCTTCATCCTGCGGGTCGTTTTTTCACGGTCCCAGGGCCCGGCGAGGGCCCCACGAGGCCTGAAAACCCGCCGTCCTGATTTTTACTACGACGCGATCATGTCTGGGAGCCATCCACTGATTGTCACCACCCACCAAACCACCCCAACCCAACCCGAAGCCCTCAATTTGCCCTCCATTTCCAGTGGGTGGGGGTCAGGGAACGTTGAAAAAACACATGGGGCCCGTTTCCCCCCCAACCCGAAATTCGGGTCAAATTCGGGTCTTCGGGTTGGGTTGGGGTGGTCTGGTAGGTAGTCAGATTGGGGTTTTCTTTGGTGTTTGTCTCTCCAATGAGGGCCTCCGCGCGGCAGCCCGCCGCCCTCGCCGCCTTCCGCGCGGCCTTCGGGGCGCGGCTGGCCGCCGGCGAGCCGCTGGCCTCTGCGGGGTTCCCCCGCGCGCCGCCCGCCATCGGCACCCGGCCCGCGGAGGCGGGCCGGGGAGGAGTCGGGGGCGGCGAGGAGGGGGGTGACGGCTAGGCTTAAGTCGGGCCTGTCTCCCTGCAGGGGGATTATCGACGGAAAATAAAAATACCCCAAAGATAGTCCAAAAATAGTCTGGGGACTATTTTTTGAGTATGTTTTGACCTTTTTGGCGTATCTTTGGGGTATTTTAAATTTTTCGTCGAACATCCCCCTGTAGGGGGACAGGCCCGACCGAAGGCTGGGCGGCCGCGGACCTATAGACCTCTAGGCCCCGGCCTTGCCGCAGCAGGCCTCTGGCCGGACGCCGATGTATCCGTGGCGGCCCCGAGGCCCGAGGCCCATCCGCGGGGGAACGGGTGAGTTGCCCCAGCAGGGCCTGCTGATGGCGGCAGAGGTGCTCGTAGGCAGGTCCTGGATCGCCAAGGGTCAAGCAGTGACGAAGCGTCCTGCCTCGCCTATAGCCCTACCAAACAACGTTCTTAGAACCTTTTGTGGTTCCCACGAAATGTTCTTAGAACAATTCTGGCTGATATTGTCTTGTTTTAACATGTCGGATTTATGTTCTGAGAACATTGTTTTTGTTCTTAGAACATTTCTGGGTTCTAAGAACATTTCGTGGTATGACTATAGGAATGCCGGGACGGTCGGCCCCTGCTCAAAAGGGGGGTCCCAGGACGGACCGACTCGCCCCGGGGGGTGTCGGTCCGAGCAGTCGGGTTGCGCAGGGGGGCCTCGGCTGCTCACCTGTGCCCCGTGCGAGTCGCCCCGGAGGGTCTCGTGCGGGCGGGAGGAGGATCGGGGGCATAGCCAAGAGGGTGGTGAGGGCTAGGGGGGGGGGGGGGATATCATGGCGGGGGGCTATGATATTTCCCCAAAGACAGAGAGAGAGAGAGAGAGAGAAACAGTGACAGGAATAGATAGAGAAAGAGAGAGAGAGAGACACAAAAAACATAATACATAGACAGAGAGAGAGACATAACCGACAAAGAAACAAACAGTCAACAACACGCAATCGAGCACACAGCCACACAAACAGACACACCGAGCACACGAACAAACAAGCCAGCAATCCAACACACAAACGAGCAAACAAACGACCAACCAAACAACCAGATTTCAGGGCTCCTCCTCCTCCTCCTCCTCCTCCTCCTCCGCCTCCTCCTCCTCCTGCTCCTCCTCCTCCTCCTCCTCCTCCTCATCATCATCATCATCAGCCTCTTCTTAGTTCATCACGTCCCTGGCCCCCCCTTGCGGCCGCGCCCATGCCGCCGGCCACGGCGTGCGCCCCCCGCCCCTTGGACGCCCCCATCCCGACCGCCCCCGAGAGGAGTGAGGTCGGCCGCTGTGGACCAGGGCTGCACCGAGACGGTGTTTTGGCGACTTCGTGGGCCGTCTCCGTGCTTCGACTTCGTTTTGCGGCAGAGGCAGATGGAAGACAAAACCAGGGAAAACAGAAACCAAAACGAAAACGAACAACACCGCTCAGGTTCAGCCCTGTGGTGGGCAGGGGTGAGTGCACGGGTTCGGCCGTCTGGACCAAGAATGCAGCCGGGCCCCCCGTCTGTGACGGGCCGACGGGCCCCCCCGTCCGGGGTGGGCCAGGGGGTCCGTCCCGGACGGGGGCCCGAGGGGAACCCCTGAGGGAGGGCCCCGAGGGGGAGCTCGAGGAGGGCCGCGAGGGGGGGGCCGATGAGGGCCCGAGGGGGCACCGATGGGGGGCACCGAGGTGGGCACCGAGGGGGGCCCGAGGGAGAGCCCGAAGCGGGCGGCGAGGGGGCCCCGCTGGCGAGAGCACGTTGCTGGAGTGCATTTTGAGGAAGTCTCGGGCGCGACGGCTCTGCCGGACCAAACGATCTCGGGGGGGCCATCCTGGGCTCCTTGCAGGGTATCTCCGAAGGGCTTACGCGACCCCTCCTCCTCCTCCTCTTCCTCCTCCTCCTCCTCCTCCTCCTCCTCCTCGTCATCCCTCCTCCTACTCTTCCGCCTCCTCCTCCATTTCCTCCTCTGTCTTCTCCTCCTCCTCCTCGTCTTCCTCCTCCTCCTCCTCGTCTTCCTCCTCGTCTTCCTCCTCCTCCTCCTCCTCCTCCTCCTCCTCCTCCTCCTCCTCCTCCTCCTCCTCCTCCTCTCGGGTCGCCTACGGCCCCAGGGGAAACCGGGCACCCCGTGCCCCCTTTGGGACCCTGCGTCGTCCCTTTGCCTGCTGGTCTCCACTATAGAACCTTCTGGCGACACGCCGGGGGAAAGCCGCCACGCCCGGACCTCAGGGTTGGCGGCACGGGCCCGGGAGTCTTTTGCCTCCTCCAGGTGGGCGCCCTGGTCGCGGGCTTCCGGCGGGCTCTCGCCGCGCTGGTCGCCGCCGGGTTCTGCGCGAGCGCGTCCCTGGACGTGGACGAGGTGGCGGCCGACCTCTTCTCCGAGGGCGCGAGCCGCACGCTCGTCATGAGCGGCCTGATCGAGGCCCCCCGCGCGCAGGGGGGGGGGATCTCAAGATCGGGGCGTGGCAATTTTGTCACCACGGGTGGTTTCGCCAGGATCCAATCCACTCTCCCTCTGGGACCTCGCCTCCTGCTCCAGTCTATGGCGTACGGCACCGCCTGTACTCTGAGCCCCCCGGCCGCCTGAGGCTCTGCCCGCCCGCGCCCTGTCTCCCCAATTAGGGCTACTCGCGTCCCGTTTAGCTCTAGACCGGAAGAGGCCCGCTCCCGACCCGCAGACCAAAAAAAGTGTTCGCCAGGATCCGGGCCTTGAGGCCATCACATATCGATCCAGTTCGAGAGCTGCAGCAGAAAAGACGGGGCCCACAGTTCGAGCGCGCAGAACCCTGACATTTCCGGTCCGAGTTGTTTGACTTCTTCTGCCTCTTGGGCCCTGGGGGCCGCCAAGAAAGGGGCTGGGACAAACCAGTTCCGGGGACAGGATTCAGACCTTTGGGGAGCCACGCTGCGAGCAAAAATCACGACGGAAAAGCCAATGATTTCGGCCCTCTCGCCGGGGCCGTCTTGGGCTGCCCTGGCGGCTCGCGGAGCGCCCTCTCTGTCCAGGTCCAGGGTGAGAGGGGCAAGCCCCTGCCCGAAGGGAAGACTTGAAGAAGGGGGGCCGGGAGAGGAGGCGCTCTAAACCTTTCCTGCCCTCAAGGGCTGGAGGGATTCACGGCGTCGGCTGCCTGGGGGAGGGGCGGCGGGGCGGTGTTGGGCGGCCGTCCGCGAGGGAGGCGCTCTGCCTTGTGTCAGATAACCTGGGGGCCTGCGCAGGACTCCTCCGCCTCCCTCCTCCTCCTCCTCCTCCTCCTCCTCCTCGTCCTCGTCCTCCTCCTCCTCCTCCTCCTCCTCCTCCTCCTTTTCCTCCTCCTCCTCCTCCTCCTCCTCCCTCCTCCCTCCTCCTCCTCCTCCTCCTCCTCCTCCTCCTCCTCCTCTCCTGCCCTCCTCATCCTCCTCCTCCTCCTCCTCCTCCTCCTAATAGGTGGCTCCATGCGCCCCGCGCGTACTCAGAGGGACGCTCCCCTCGCCCTCCCCTTTCCTCAGGAGCGGAAGAAGGACGTACACGTACATGACCCGCGGTGGTTTCGAAAGTACGTTTTGCGGGAATTGTCGCATTACGAGGCTGGTCTTGCGGGCTGGGGGGCTGTATTCATGCACGTGGTTTGGCGCGCAGGCATTTTTGTGGGCTCCCTTTTACCCCCCTTCCCTGAGATCCGACGCAGCGAACAGACTGCAACATCGCGAGAAGTCACGACCAAAGCCATGAATCCCATCTCCCTGCGGATTTTTCGAGCCAGATCGATCTGTGATGATCCAGGGCCCTGAGCCTCGGCGATAACGCCCGTCGCGAATCGGCTGTAGCGCCCGGATCTCAGGGAAGGGCGCCCCCCCTTGGCCCTGCCCCTGCCCTCCTTTGAGTGCGCCAGCCAAGAGGGCGACCCGCTGGTGGACGCGCAGATCCTCCTCTCGGAGGAGTCCTCGGCACCGACCACGCCCGACGCGTGCTGCGCGGCGCTGGACGCGTGGCTATCGCGGGGCTCTGGCAGCGGGGCCACGGTGTCGCTGGACCGCTATCCAGTTGCCTGTGGCTAAGGTTGGTGCTGATGTTGATGATGATGACTATGTTGCTGCTGCTGCTGATGATCCTGACGATGACGATGATGGTGATGATGACACTGAATCATGCTGATGATGGCGATGATGGTGATGGTGTTGGTGCTGGTGATGGTGTCGGTGATGGTGTTGGTGATGGTGATGATGTGTCTGATGATGATGACGACGTCGACGACGAGGAATACTATGATTATGACGATGATGGCGATGATGATGATGATGATGATGATGATGATGATGATGATGATGATGATGATGATGATGCTGCTGATGATGATGATGATGATGATGATGGTGGTGGTGTTGATGCTGCTGATGATGATGATGATGATGTTGATGATGATGATGATGATACGGATGATGGCGATGATGATGAGGATGGTGATGAAGATACTGATGATGGTGATGTTGACGATGATGCTGATGTTGCTGATGCTGGTAATGTTGTTGATGATGATGCCGATGCTGATGACACTGGCTCGGATGATGATGATGACGATCATGATGATGCTGATGCTGGTGCTGTTGACGATGTTGCTGATGATGTTGATGATGAAGATGACGATCATGAGATTCGTGATACTGATGTTGATGAGTGTGAAGACGGTGATGCTGATGATGCTGATGAGGTCGATGATGATGCTAGATTGATATTGATACTGATATTGATGATAATGACGCTACTGATCGTGATGGTGATGATGATTATCATGCTGCTGATGCTGATGATGATGACGATTATGCTGCTGGTGGTGATCATGATGATGCTGCTGATGATTATGATGATGCTCATGATGATGATGCTGATGCTGCTGCTGCTGCTGATGATGATGATGATGATGATGTTGATGTTGATGATGATGATGATGATGATGATGATGATGATGATGATGATGATGATGTTGATGATGATGATGATGATGATGATGATGATGATGATGATGCTCATGATGCTCATGATGGGGAGGAGGGGAGGAGGAGGAGGAGAAGGAGGAGGAGGAGGAACAATAAGGTCGTTACACGTGTCAACTTTCGTCTACACTGTTGGAGGAGCGCTCAAGGCTTTCGTTTGGATCGTTTCGGGGTGTCTTGGCCTCCTGTGAGTCAGTCTTTGGGATCCCTTGAATGTGTTTTGAGCTGTCTTGCGGTCCTCTTACGTCGATCGGGGCTCTTTTGGGCCGTTTTGGGGCCCTCTTGGCAGTATGGTGGGTGTCTGGGGGCCGTCGTGGGGCCGACTTGGCACCGTCTTGGGCAGTCGAAAGGCTGTCTAAGGCCGTCGTGGGTCCAACGGGATGCCCTCTTGGGCCGTCTTGGAGCCGTGTTGATGTCTTAGGCCATCGTGGGGTTCTATTTGGGCCATCTTGGAACCCTCTTGGGGGCCTCTTGGGCGGTCTTGGGGCCGTCATGGGACTTCTTGAGCCGTCTTCTGACGGAAGCCTGAAAAGTTACGATTGCGACAATCAGTAGACGAACCTTAAGGGGCATCAATGATCTTGGTTTGGTTAGACTCTGTTGGGGGTCCTCTTATGGCCCGTTTGAGCTTTCTTGGAGGCATCTTGGTGAAGCCATATTGGGCCGCATTGCGGTCATCTTGGGCTGTCGCGCAGGCATCTTGGACCATCTTGGGCGGCTTTGGTGACTTGCTTGGGCCGTCCTGGAAGCCATCTCGAGCATATGGCGCGCTCTGGAGGGCGCCCGGGAGGAGTTGGAGCGCCCTCAGGAAGCCTTGGCAGCAGGGGGCGATATATGCGACGAAGCGGAGCCTGGAGGGGGGATCCTCCGCCTCCTCCTCCTCCTCCTCCTCCTCCTTCCCCCTCCCGCCCTCTTGTTTCCCTCCCTTAGGATCTTACAGAAACCCTACCAGACGCGCTTGACGCTCTGCCGCGCCTCAGCGTGCCAGGGGTGGCACGCTGGCGGGCTACGTGAACTCGCGGTGGCGGCGAAAGTCGGAGAAGGACGCGATGGTCTACGTGCCGAAGCAGCTGCTGCTGCAGCTGACCCTGACCTCGTCGGCCCTCGCGGCGGCGGAGGCGGCGGTGGCGGCCGCGGAGGGGCCCGGCTGACGAGACGGCCGCCGCGGCCAGCGCGTCGCCACCGAAAAGGCAGGTGCCGCGCGGTGGCGCGCGCGCACGCGCGTCGTGCCGCACCGCCCGCGGGGGGCGCCCTGTTTCGCGCGGGTGTGCGTGGTGCACCGGCGGCGTGGAGGGGGCGCTTCCTCGCTCTCGTCCTCCTCGCCCTCGTCCCTCCCCCTCGTCCCTCCCCCTCCTTTGCCCTCGTCCTCCCTCGTTGCCCTCCCCCCCCTTCCCCTCGTCCCCCCCCCCCCCTCCTCGTTCCCCCCTCTTCTCCCTCGTCCCCCACCCCCCTCTCCCTCCTCCCTCCTCCCCTTGGATCCTTCGGGGCCGCGTGGCCGACTGGAGCGGCAAAAGGCTGTCAATTTTTCGCCTGGGCCCTGCACGGCTTTCGTCTCTGAGCTGCGGGGCCGCATTGGCCAGCACCACCGTTGCTTTGCTTAGGTCCAGCTTGAAGCCAGCTTGTCTTATGTTACATCTTCGGGAGACCTCGCCTGTCCCCCAAATTGATGTTTTTTTTGTGCCCGACGCGGGCTCGATGCGGAGTCGACGCAGACTTGGCGTGGCTTCGGCGCGGATTCGACACGGATTGGGCACGGATCCGACGAGCCCGACATGGATTCGACACGGATTCGCTGCGGATAGGGCCGCGACGGGACAGACAAGGTCCCCCGAGGATGCAACATAATCTTCCCCCCCTCCCCACACATCCGACGTCGTAGTCATTCTCGCTTTGGCCTTGCACGGCTTTCGTGTCTGAGCTGCGGGACCGCATTGGCCAGCAAAACCACTGCCCTGCTTGCTTTGGTCCAGCTTGAAGCATCCCCCCTCCCCAGACATCCGACGTTGTTTTGGTTGTTCTGCGTGCCTCCCAAGAGGTCTGGACCCCCTGCCCGGCAACGCTTCTTTCTTCCATCTGGGGCCGGTGAGGGCCCCGGGAGGCCGCAGAGGGACCAGGAGTTTCCCGTCGCGATCTCTTCATGAGCAACTGGCACCCATATCTCTGCGACCCCCGGACCCCTCGGGGTGATGTTCTGGGGGGGAGCGGAGTGCTGTCGGTGTGTATTGTCGGGTGGAGTGTCGGACAGGCACAACATTATTTTTGGGCGAGTGGATCAGCTTCTTGCGCGGATCCCCAAATTCCAAACTTACTTTAGCGACATCGTCTTACGCATTGGTTCGCCCGCCATTCGAGGGGGCCGACCGCGCCTGTCGGATTTGCCGAGGCTTCGACGTCGCTTGACAGTGTCAGTGTGGAATCAAGACTTGCGCCTCACGAGTGGATTGGATGATGAGCGCAAGGTGAGTCTTTCAGCTGCGGGGGGGCGCGGGCGTTTGCCGCCACGCAGGGGCCAGGGGCAATTGGGAAACCCTCAGGGAAATGGAGGGCGGCAGGTAGAGGAAGAACGGGGGAGGGGGAGGGCAAAGCAGCGGGCGGGAATGGGGAATATAGTGACCAGGCGAGATGTTTTGATGGGGGAGCGATGTGGGCGGAGGCCGCAGTTGGAATTCCTTCGGATGGCCCTGGGTCGTTCAGACACTTCCGCCTGGAGGCCGGCAGGGGGTTCAACGGCCCTTGCCTTCCTGACTCTGCGGGCGGGGCGCGACGACGCACCCGACCTGCACCCCGCCCCTTTCGCTAGGTGCCGGTCTGTACGTGCTCGCCCCGCGCGAGACATCCAGCACGTTTAGAACTACACTTAGCCAGGCTCTAGGTGTAGTTCTGCGCGTCCTGGTTTCGCCGGGGACATCCTCACAACACGGGTGCCTGTCGGGCGCCGCCATTCGCGTTCCCAACGTGTACCGCGCCCCGGCTGCTAAGTGCCGTTTCGTGCGTGTCCCTTTTTTTGTCGTGAAGCATCGGCTGCCCGCGCTGACCATCGCCGAGGCCCCGTCCCCTGGGCCGCTTCCCACCGACATCCTACATCCCACATCTCCTGGCTCAGCGAAGCCAGCCGTGTGCCTGGGGGCTTCGACCTCGCGCAGCCCGCTTTCCTCCTCCGCCTGTGCCCCAGCAGCAAATCCGCGATCCGATCCCCCGCGTTTTCGAGTTCTTCTTTGTGCCGGATTCCCCGTCCGCGTTCGTTCGCGATTTGATGTTTCTTCCGGCTGCCGCCAAGCTCGGCGTGAAACATAGTGATCGCATCCACGCTTGACACGCAGCGTCGTCGGCACGGCCATCGCCTTCCATCGTAGGTCGTGAGGCAGGCCAGCGGTAACTGGGGGATCTGTGGTCCTTACCCCCTCTGGGGTGCCCATCAGATCCAAGACTTGTTTTCCTAGTGCCCCCGCTCTTTTGATGAGCGCGACCAGCGCGTCGGCCATCGCGCCGGGGGTCCACCCAGACCGACCGGCGCGCAACATCTAATTATGATTGCCACCCGTGGTCCCCGCAACAAAGTGCAGTTTTGCTGTGTGTAGTTGTAGATGTGTTCGAGAGGGCCCCGCTCGAACGGGAGACCCCTTGGGGGTCTGACAGTTCGCGCCCATACCTGAAACGCCTTCATCGCTTCGCCCTTCCCCGTCCAACTCCTCCTCGCCCTCCTCCCTCGCCCTCCTCCTCCTCCTCCTTTTCCTCCTCTTTCTCGCCCTCCTCCCATCTCGGGCAGCCATTTTGGCTCGAAGCTGGGGCGGGGGGGGGCGAACCGGCGTGCCGAATACCGCCTGCGGGGCTGCGCCGGACGGCGGCCGCCGTGGGCGGTCGCTCCCCACTCCCCCAACCCTCGCTCACTCCCGCTCACCCTCGTCCTCCCTCCTCCTCCTCCTCCTCGTCCTCCTCCTCCTCCTCATTTTCCCCCTCGTCCTCCTCCTCCTCCTCTTCCTCCTCCTCCTCCTCCTCCTCCTCATCATCATATTCCTCTCCTCATCTCCTCTCCTCCTCCTCTTCCTCCTCCCTCCTCCTCCTCCTCCTACACTACTCCTCCTCCTTTCTCTCTCCTCCTCCTCCTCTCCTCTTCTTCCTCGTTTTTCCTCCTCCTCCTCGTTTTCTTCCTCCTCCTCTCCTCCTCCTCCTCTCCTCCTCCCTCCGTCCCCCCTCCCTCCGCCTCCTCCTCCTCTTCCTCTCCTCTCCTCCTCCTCCTCCTCGTCCCCCTCTCCCTCTCCTCCTCCTCCTCCTCCTCCTCCTTATCCTCCTCCTCCTCCTCCTCTCCTCCTCCTCCTCCTCCTCCTCCTCCTCCTCCTCCTCCTCCCTCCCTCCTCCTCCTCCCTCCTCCTCCACCCCCCTCCTCGTCGTCCTCCACCCTCCTCCTTATCCTCCGCGTCCTCGTCCCTCGCCCCTCCTCCTCCTCCTCCTCCTCCCTCCTCCTCCTCCTCGTCCTCGTCATCCTCCGCTCTCCTCGTCGCTCTCCACCCCCCTCGCTCTCGCCCCCTCACGCTCCCCTCCAGTCCTCGTTTACCTATTTCCGCCGTGCCTTCATCCCACCGGTGCTTTTTCGAAGAAGTGGAACAAAGGCAGAACCATACATTGTTTGGCGCTCCGAGCGGATTCCGTGGATCCGCGCTGGGCCGCGCGCCCCGCGCGCCAGGGAGTGGGGTCCAGCGCAGGTCCTAGACCCGCGCGGAGCGCCACATGTTTATGTTTATGGCGTTGTTCCTTCTAGTCCCACCCATCGTTCTTTCCTTCGGAGAGCAGAACACTTAGAGGCTCGTTTTGGGGGACCTTCCTGGGGCCCGTCTGACAGATCTGTTCGACTGCAGTTCGACCCCAGATCGATTCATGGTCGCTTCAAGTTCGATGAAGGTTCGACTCAGGTTCGACTCAAGGTCGGCTCAAATCGACGGACGTTCGACGACCACGAGTGGAGCGAGTGTCTCCAGGAATGTCCCCAGAATGAGCATCCAAGAACACGGCGCATACATCTTCGAAGGTCCGAGCGGTTTTCTTGGATCGGCGCCAGCCCCCCCCCCTGCGGCGCGCCTCTGACACCACCCCTGGCGCGTCCGCGCGCCAGGAGTGCAGCACCGAGAGGCTGGGTCGTCCATACAGCCACGCGCGCGCGCAGGAAGAGAGTATGACCGTTCAGGATCCCCTCACTCGTATCTTCCGAGTAGGGGGTCGACTACAGTCGGGGCCCTGAAGAAGGAACCCTTTTCGTTGGGGAGGGGCTCCGCGTTCCGTAAGTGTTTCACAGTTTGCCTCAGGTTTTCCCTATGCTTTCGAGCGGAAATCGAAGGTTAACTTATGGAAAAACGGGGCCTTGTTCTTTTATTTTTGGGTTCCTTAGGTCAACGCCTCGACTGTAGGGGGATCGACTACAGAATCGATGTGCCCCGGAATTGCCCAGAGCGCGCAGCATCTGCAGACGACCGCGAGCCCACGAGCGCACGCGTCGAGCGCTCCGCAGATTTGCGGAGCACTTTACGGCAGACTGCGAGACAAATTACAGTCGGGGCCCTGAAGAAGGAACCCTTTTCGTTGGGGAGGGGCTCCGCGTTCCTTAAGTGTTTCACAGCTTGCCTCAGGTTTCCTTATGTTTCCGATAGGAAATCGAAGTTTAACTTATGGTAAAAAGGGGCCTCGTTTCTTATTTAGGGTTCCTTAGGTCAACGCCCCGACTGTAGGGGTGCAAAACGCACTCTGGAGCCGATCCCCTGCTCGAATCGTCTCCCGCTCCCCTCCCTCCGTCCCCCGCCCCTCCTGCAGGCCGCCGCATGGGGCTGCTCGCCCGGTGGTCCCAGGAGGACGAAAGGGCCCCGGGCGGCCAGGACATCCGGTCCGGCACGCGCGTCGTCGTGCTGGGCGGCAGGCACTTCGACGCCTTCGAAGCTGGGGATGCGGGCCTGGTGATCGGCGGCGGAGGAGGAGGAGGAGGCGGCGGAGCAGGGGGAGGAGGAGGAGGAGCAGGAGGAGCAGGAGGAGGAGGAGGAGAAGGAGGAGCAGGAGGAGGAGGGGGGGTGGGAGGAGCAGGAGGAGGAGGAGGAGGAGGAGGAGGAGGAGGAGGAGGAGGAGGAGAAGGACCAGCGTATACCCAAGAGGCATCAACGATGTTGGAATTTACCCTCCCTCCAAGCTCCCTCTTCGCATGCCCCTACAATGGTTCATGTCCATTGAGGAAACTGCCTCGTTTGAAGAC